TGACATTTCTTCAAAGGCTTAGTAAGGAACAAGATTGTCATAGAGCAAGTCATAATGTGTGATCTGTGCCAGCCCCATTTTAAGCCAGAAGGAAAATCCTGGCAATTGTACCTATTTTTCACATTCTTATAGAACTATTTCTTTTGGAACAGAAAGGAGAGATTATGAGCTCAACATGAGTTTAAAAATGTATCAGTGCTTTCTCCCTCCTTGTTTTTGCAGCTGAGTTATTATAAAATAATGGGGTATGTTGAAAGCAATCAAGGATTGGACATCTTTCCCAAAACAGGCTGTTCTCTTTCACCTTTAATAAAAGGAATTTGTTGTTTAAAGAAGTGAAAGCAGAACAGATCTCTGCAGCTGATTTCTGTGCAGATGAATTAACATCCTGAGACTTGCTTGTTTAGTAAGGTCACCTGGGCCTCCTGCTGAATGAAAGGAAAACCACACCCACCTCAGGCCTCCCCGTTCCTGCGACAAGAGGAAGAGCTGGTAAACTTATTCAGGAGAGGTTCAGACTGGACATCAGGATGGATGTCTTTACTGAAAGAGTGGTCAAACACTTTTACTGGCTGTAAATTACTGTCACAGAATGTGATAATGGGTAAGGCTGGAAGTGAACACCAGCAGTCATTTAGCTCCTGGGTCAAGCACAGTCAGTCCACTGGAGCACATTAGTAAGGAGTAAGTTTTAAATATCCCCAGTGAGGGAAACTCCACTCCTCCTCTGGTTGAGCCTGACCCAGTGCTCAACCACCTGCACAGTAAAGAAGTTCTTCATGTTCCAGCTGAATTTGCAGGAACTTCCTTCCTTGCATGTGTTTCCCAAACAAATTAAGTTCCCCAAACCAAGTCTGTTTTGCCCATGAGGATAATTGAGAAGTGTCTTTACCTCAACCCATAAGCTTTCTTGTTTCTTTTTTTTCTGATTTCTTCCTCCCACCTCATTGGGGAAGCGGACTGAGACAGTGGCTGGGTGGCAGACTGGCTACTAGGTGTAACCAAGCCACCACAGTAGTGCAGGAAAAGTACAAGTTGTTTGTAAGCTTTGTGCTCAAGACCAAAGACAAACAACAACAAAAAGAAGAATTTACACTGTCAAACTCCATTCACTTCATGTCACTGACACGTTATTTGTCCATGCCTGTGCACTGAACTTCACATCAGGAAGTTAGGAGGCTTTCCCTTTTACAACACCATTGCACATCTATAAAACAACAGCTTCTACAAGATTGATTACACAGTTCTTAAGAGCAGGAAGGCCTGGATGACCTTCTGCAAAGTCAGCAAGGCCTTGAGTTATTCAGACTTTGCCTAGCAGTTTATAAGAGCTCACTGAAATGCAACACATCTTAATCTGAACCTCATATCCAGGCTAATAAACACCAAGTAAGATATACACCGTCCCAAGCGAACAACTTCCATGCATCTGCCTATATAATTTTTTTATCAAAGAGAAGGCATATTTTTCTTAAATCTGTTAAACAGTAGTTCAATTTCTACTTAAGAAATTCTTATTTTGTGAGAATCTAGTCATTCTTTCCTCAGCTCCTTTACTGTCTTGTCTGAAGGGGTGTGTACATTCAACACAAACTTCAGAAGCTAACACAAAATATCCTACAAAAGACAAGGTCATAAAGGATAATGGGAATGGCTACAAAATAAACAATGAAGGCACAATAAAAGTAGTCTTAAAATAGAAAGAAAGCCTTTATTATGAAATCATAATACATGCCAAAATAAAAATGTCTTTTAAATCACTGAGTATGTTTATGAATTGTATTTACAGGTTTTTCCTGTCATTTTAAAACTAGAATTTATTTAGTTTTGCAGATATTTTAAAAAATAAATATTATAAAACATGATCCAAGAGAAGTTGCATACAATTGGAAAAGGGAAACCTGGCTTGAAACAAAGCCATTCTTGCAGAAGCCAACAACAAAGAACATATTAGGCTTGGAAACTTAAATATGCCCTACCTTAAACTGAGAGAGTAAAATTTTGTAAAAACAAGAATAAATCACCTAAAAACTGAAGATTCAAGTATTTCTTTCTTTTTTATAATATAACATCAAAATTACACAGAATGCCCCAGTGATCACTAGGAAATCTGCCACATTCTAGTTTTTCTAAACCAATTAAGTCCATGCTCCGTGGAATGAAATGCCCCCCTTCCACTGCAGGCCGAAAGTAAATACGGTCAAACCTCATCTTGCACTTGTAGGCTGCATTCAGGTTGGTGTTGGACTGCGTGTCCCAAGTGTAGCGGCAGTGCTGAGGTTTACCCAAAAACTCCCAGGCATCCTTAATGTTGTCAGGCAGATTACCAAGTTTAGTAACCTGAAGGTAGAAAGAGGGAAAAAAATTCCACAAGATAGTGAATTCACAAATTCTCCCTTCAAAAAATAGAACTGAGTTGTCACAGCATTGGATTTTTTTCTGTAAAACGTAAGTTGTTAAAAATCAAAGCTCTTGGAAATGTTTCTAAACTATGGTACTTCTCCAGATACTCTAAAGCAAGACCATTTCCTATAGCACTTTCTAAATCCAAAACACATTCCAAAATAAATGTTCAGCTCTGAAATGTTGAGGTGTAGGGGCCAACACCATGTTTCCTAAATAGTCATTCCAGTTAACTGCAACAGAATTTCATTATAGGGAGAGGTGAAACACTGACCTTCTAGTAATAATGCACGTATTTCCCTTTTAGTATCAGCAGCCAAAAACTGCTAATTTTGAATACCTTGACTGCCAGGGATTAAGGTCTATTTCTCCAGAGCACCCTCTTCCTTCATTGATTCTGAGAACTGGAGAGTTAACAAGTAAAGACCAGGTTCTCAAAATAAGATGTCTTTGAAGTCAAAACTTCCATCAAATCTGCCTGCATCTGCTCAGATACAAGTATTATTATTAAAGTATTTTGCTATTGGGAAGGGGTCTCCATACATATCACTTCAGCCATAACAGCTCTTATTTCTACTTAGTCACGGTTCCACACCTTAAGAATGAGTGTTGAATATCTCTGTTCTGGTTGAGTAGGTAATTTCTCATATAGATAACAGAAAAGCCTGAGAAGGTTTTGTCAAAACACCTTCTCTAAATAACAAAGTTGCTTATTTCTATTTACCTCGCTATCTCTGAGGTTTGTATCCCCTCCAAATATAACAGTGGTGGACTCAGACTGCTTCTGCATTTCATTGAACACTATTTGCAGCTGCTTTATACGCTCCTTGGAGTGATTTTTAGTGCTTTCCAGATGGGAGGTCATAAGGCAAAGTTCAATACCAGATATGCTCACCTATGTGCGAAACAAAGAGGCAGGGTTAGTATCCACATCACAATAAGCTCAAAGACAAAACCTAATCACAAAGCAAATTACTGAATGTCAGAGCTCTGGTTAATATTAGTTTTACATTGAAGAAAAGGGGCTTACAGGAGGGTAACAGGCTTTTAGTTTTGTTTTCACACGTTATGAGACTTGAAAACAAAGTATGGTAAGTAACTTGCATAAAAGATATAGGTTTGTCAGTATCAAATGCAACTGGGTTTGTATGCTTGGAGAAGTTTTTCTGCTCTTTGAGACTGTCATAAAGAAAAATCCAGTTCAGCCTTTCCTGGGATTTTCCATTTGGAAGACAGAAGTACAGCTGCTTAGTACATCCTGACTCACTCACATGCACAACTAAAAGGTTCCTCTTCATGGCAGTCGTTGGAAAAGGTATTATGTCATGTTTCAGTAGCTTCACTCTTGATTTCTTTAACATTACAGCAGTGAAATACTCATCTATGTTACCTACAGAGGACCAAGAAAATAAATGTTTCAGGACATCTTCTGCTGTGCCACAGCAGAACTGCCATAAAGCAGTTAAGGTTCTGAAAGAGACCCTTTTACCACAGCCTGTGAGAATATATGTTGATTTTTAAGTCATCAGTGAAAAGTTGCATAATAACGCTCTGAATTTTTTCATATTTTTTAAATGCAAATACCCAGAAAAGTTACTTATCTATGGCACTTTTTTACTACCCTTCCTACCAATCTTTCAAAATGCAAAAAGAAACACACAGGAAAATGCCAGAAAAGCAAGCTTTTCACATGCATAATTTGCATCAAGCTACATGCTGATACCAAAACACAGAAACACCAAGCACTTCCTTCTTCACTTTACTCTTTATATTATTTTAAATGGTTGGAGGTTTTGGCAAGAGAAACAGAATAAACCCAAACTTTGTTTTCTGGTTTTTGTCTTTAGTACCTGAAAGTTTTTTCTTACCTGGAATAATAGCGTAATTGCCTGCTTTCATCTGGAGAAGAGGAAGATGTGGTGGGATGACCTCCTGTAAAAACACAACATCCGGACTGTATCTGAAATCAGCAAGGCAAGAAAAATTTCAATTAATTACTGAGAATTAGTATTGCAACACTCTGAGGTCAAATGGATCAAAGCCAGGGATTTCAGGTGCACCTTGCCCTCATTTTATTAGGTCTTGTAAGAATCAGCTCTTTAAAGAAGAAAAAAAGCTATCTGCATTGTATTTAGCAGCACATAGACACCCACCATTATTAAAAGGGAGTAAACAATTGTTATTATGAACATTAAACCAATATGGTAATAAAATGCATGACTTCCTTCTGCCATGACCTTGCAGGTTTCACATAACTACATAACATGAGAAATTCAGCCTAAGCAGATGCAATGTAGCTTTGAGACATGTTTTACGAAGATTCTCATGTACAGGATGCAATTATGAACTATGTTCATGATGTATGATTGCAACTTGAACAATATTGCTCATTATTAGACTTTTAAAGTAGCCATCTCAAAATATTTAACCTCTGGGATGCTGCATAGGTTCACACCTTTTACAGTCAGCATAACAACTCTCAGCTATTTAGCGTTTATACAGTGATTGATCTGTTGCACCTAACATTAAGATAATTGGGACATGAAGATTTGTAAATTCTTATATCAAGAAGTTTTGGTTTTTTTTCTGTTGAATCCAGGTACCTGACAATACAAAGAGGAGGTTGTACTTACAGTGCCAGGTATGTACAGATTCCTCTAGCTCGATCTTTCACATTTCCTAGATCCAGCCCATCAATGTTCCAGGTGATCAGCGAGAAGTTGCTATCATCTTCTTTTTGCGGTGTGTCTTCACTGTTGACACCAGCAGTGCTTGTAGTTGCATCTGCAGTGAGGTCAATGCTAAAGAGAGAGTGTATTTGTTTGTTAATACGTGTAACACTAACCTATCTGTGATTGCCTCACTTATCTTCTAAAGCATGTATTGATCTCACCATTGTTTAAAAACACAGTACCTAAACATACAGGGCTGTGGTACACAGGTGAAGTAAGGGGTTTTTCCTCCTGCTTGTAGATGGAAGATAACATTTACCATTCGGATGTAAGTTAATCAGATGGTAACCAATGAAATCCAAAGCACTTGAGTAGTTCAATTCATTCCCCACAATCCCACTTTCTCCGTGTGTTTCAGGAACAGACTGCTTCCAAGTGGGTTCCCCATGAGGTCACAAGTCCTGCCAGCAAACCTTTTCCAACATGGGCTCCTCTGTCCATGTGCCCACAGGTCCTGCCAGGAGCCTGCTCCAGTATGGGCTTTCCATGGGATCAGCCTTCTTCAGGCACCCACCTGCTGCAGTGTAGAGTCCTCCCTGGGCTGCAGGTGGATCTCTGTTCCACTGTGGTCCTCCAATGGGCTTGCAGGAGCACAGCTGTTTCACCATGTTCTGCACATAGGCTGCACAGGAATCTCTGCTCCTACAGCTGGAGCACCTCCTGCCCCTCCTTCTTCGCTGACCCTCGGTGTCTGCAGAGATTTTTTTCAGTTCTCTTTTCTGCTGCAGGTGCTGTCGTGCAGCAATTTTTCAACCTTAAGTCCATTATTCCAGAAGCACTATCACCACCGCTGATGGGCACAGCATTGTTCCACAGCGGGTCTGCCTTGAAGCCAGCTGACCTCGGCTCTGTTGGATACAGAGGAAGCTTCTGGCAGCTTCTCAGAGGAGCCAGCCCTGTAGCCCCTCACTACCAAAACCGTGCCAAGCAAACCTGGTCAAAATAGTGGTGATAACACACTGATGTTTTTGTTGTTGCTAACTAGTTGCTACCTCAAGACAAAGGCTTTTCAACTTCCTGTGCTCTGCTAGGTGCATAAGACGCTGGGAAGAAAGACGACGAGGTGAACTGACCTGAACTGGCAAAAGGAATATTCCGTACCATAGATCATCATCTTCAGTAAATGAACTTGGAGGCAACTGGCCAGGATGAGCTAACTGCTGCTTAGAGATGGGCTGGGCATCAGTCAATGGGTGGTGAGCAATTGTACTGTGCATCACTTACCTTTCTTGGCTTCCATTTCTCTCTCTCTTTTTGTTTTCTCTAATTTCATTCTGCTGTAAAACTGTTCTACCTCAACCCATGGGTTTTATCTTTTTTTTTTTCAATTCTGTTTCCCACCCCACTGAGAGGGTGGTAGTAAGTCAGGGTATCCAAGTGAGTGGCTATCTGGGGTTTGTGAGAACCCCAGCCTTGTTTTGGGGCCACATGTGGTGGTAAAATTCCTCCTCCAACCCGTGCTTCCAAAGAAAAACTCCGCAGGCTTAGCTGTTCGGTCTCAAGGCAGTTTATTGCTAGTTATCTAACAGATTATGTTCTTGGACTGCAGCTATTTGATCAGCGGCCTGGGTAGAGGCACACACACACCCTGACATCCTCTCTATCTGCTGTCTTCTTCATCTCTCCCCCCGCCCAGGGCTGCTGCTATCTTTTATAAGATATATTACGTATAACATGTTTACAATTATTCCCCAATACCTACTACCTACGTTGCCAAGTGTTTTTCTACTCTAAACCAATCTGTGAGTGCCAACATCACCAAGAACATGGAGGTAAGGAAGAAGAAGGAAGAAGGATGGGTTCAGCCCACTTTCCTCCATCTTAGAACTTCTGACCCCCATGTACAAAGTGAAAACCCCCCTGTACATGTGTTAAACCCCCCCTGTACAATACTAAAAAAATTTCCCCTCTACTTTGTAACTACTTATACTATACTATCTAACCTTTTGTGATTGCTTGTTCCACCTCCAAAGCCGGCAATTCATTCCATGGCTCAAACCCAAAACCACAGCTGTTTTTCAGCTGTCTGCCAGGGTCTAGAATGCTTCTGACCAAGGCTTGGAACCTCTAAAAATGTCTGAGAGACATTTTGAGTTCCCACAGGGTTAAACCACAGCAGGCAGGGATCTGGAAAAGTTCAATTCTACATACAGATCAATACACTCAGTACATCCTCAGTGTGCTGTGAGATGGTGTATGTAAAACACAGATGTTACATCTTGACTATGACAGGTACATTTAACAAGGTGTGCATGTACATGCCAGTTTTATTTATAGAAATAAAAACATGCATGTTTTTATTTCTGTAATACAAATATGCATAATTTACAAATATACACGTGTGTGTATGGTCAAATCCTCATACATATCACTGCACAACACAAGCCAGTGTGAAGAAAATGTGCCTGTGCCTTCTCCAAAAGGTTCACAGCCCACCAGTCCAGAGGATCCACAAAGGGAAAACGCAGCCCAAAATCCCAAGAGCCTCTCCGCGGGAGACAAGCGTTGGGAAAGGACGAGAAGGGGAGCAGAGAAGGAACAGGAACCACCTGCCTCGCTCAGCCGAGGCGCGATCCCGGCGGGCGGGGAGCGCTGCTCGCCAAATTCCGCCTCGGCCTGGCCGTGGCTCTCCCCGAGTGTGGGAGCCCCAGCGCCTTCCCGCCGAGGGGAACCTGCCTCCCCCACTGGGGAGGAGAACCTGCTTCCCCCCGGGCAGGAGAGCCTGCCTTCCCCCCGGGGAGGCTCCGCTGCCCGGCCCCTCCGCCTGCCACCTCCCCCGTCCCCGCCACCTACCAGCCGCCGGTGTCCGCGCAGGCCGGGCCCGCCCCGCCCGGCGCCTCCGCGTCCCGCGGCGGGTCGAAGTAGGCGTTCAGCGCCGTCTGAAACACAGGGGCGGCTGGCAGGGAGGGGCCGCCGCCGGGCAGCCCCGCGGCCCCGCCGGCCCGGCCGTACCTCCATGTGCCAGTCGCTGGCGGCCAAGAAGCGGCGCGCCACGGCCTCGTCGCTGCTGGTGATGGCGGCGAACTCGGAGCACAGCACCTTCCTGCGCTTGGCGGCGGACAGCGCCTCCTCCTCCTCCCGGCGCTGCTCGCGCTCCGCGGGCGGCGGGGCGGGCGCTGCCTCGGGCCGCCGCTCCATGGCCGCGGCGGAAGGCGGGGCGGCGCCGCCCGCCGGGGTTGCCGTTCCGGGGCGCGGGCGGAGGTCGGCGGGGCGGCAGCATGGGGCTGACGGCGGAGAGCCTGAAGGAGGCCATCAAGTACATGGTGGAGTCGAAGGGCTTCGACCGGGTGCTCCGCAAGGTACGGGCACTCGGAGGCAGGGCTGCGGGACGGCTGGTCTGTCCCCTCGGGAGTAGCGGGCCGAGCCGGGCTCGGGGGCCGGGGGCCGGGCCGGGGGCTGCAGGGCCGGGCGGGCTGCGGGCACGGCAGGAGCCCGGTGGTGCAGGCTCGCCGGTGCCTCCCCGCATCCCGGGCCTCGCGCCGTGCTGCTAACACGGGGTAGAAAACAATTGTTATGATAATTACTCAGTTGTTATTCAGTAACTCTCGTTAAATACTCCAGTTGCTTTCCAGCAGCTCTCTGAAGGTGGCTGTACTGAATAACCTTCAGGAGTCATTCAGCAGGTGGCATTCTTTCCTTCGCAGTACGTGCGAAGCCACTAACTTCCAGGACCGTGAAATTGTGAAATAAACTCTTCCCTGTTTTATATTAGAAAGATGCCTCATTGTGACACCTGCTGAGCTTGAAGTCAGGCTGAAAGCACAACACACACCCCAGGGCTCTCTGAATTTCTACACAAGGCCTTACACTATACCTTCACTGCACATTCTGGTGTAAAGAAATGTGATTGACTGGTACTGCTACAGTGTCATGCTACATTATGCTAAAAAAAAAATTGAAGCTACTGTTAATTTACACTGCAACCTGTATAGTATGCAATAGCATAGGTGCTGTCTAGGAAAGTTCTTGTTCTAGAAGAAGTTTCAGTGTTCTTATTAAATTTTCACTTTAATTTTTATGTGTTTGTGTAACCGTGACATGGAGTGATGGAGTAAATATATCTAAGAAAATCAGCCATGTAAAAACTGATATGCTTTACATTGTAGAGGTGCAAATGATATATTGGAAGCAGTGCTTTTTGTTGACAGCTCCAAGATCTGATACATTTAATAGAAATCAACTTTTTGCAAAGTAATTCTTAGTCTTGTTTTTCCAAGATATGTTGGTGAGTATAAAGTTTTTAAAAAATGTATAAAGCTTTAGGAAGATAGTTTATATATTTATAGAGTCCATATAGTTCTTAGTCACCACTTCACTGTGATAACTTTACGTTCCTTTTAAATCCTGATAAATGGTGAGCAAATATTAGCATTTCAGCTTGTAAAGGTAACTGGCTAGAAGTGAGCCTTGGGAGACAGGCTTCCAGTCTGGCTCTGGAATACTTTCAGATTTTTCCTACAACCTTCTAGAATTAGGATGTTAGGAATCTGATCATAATAAAAATAAAAGTACAGTTGTGTTTGAGTTAAAAGTAACTGCTGCTTTTCTGGGAGATACCTGAAATCTCTTACCATAATTAAATGACTCAAGGTTTTTCTTATACTGGAGAAGACGCATTTTAGTCTGAAACCTTTCACCTCCAGCCTCACACTTAGTTTCTGGTGTAACTCCTGTGTGGTATCGACCCAGGGTTTAATGCCTGTGTTTAAAGCCTGGAAGCTGAAGCTGTTCCCCAAGGCAGACACGTGGGAGGGCAAGCGCAGCAGGGCTGGGAGAAGCACAGACTAGCAGCTCTAGCTGAGTAGGTCCTGGAAGTATTCAAGTACTGAACTATTTTCATCAAGGAGAGCAGGCACATAGTGCCAGATCAGAGCAGTGACAAATGGGACCAGATGCTTTCCTTGCCTCACTGGTGGGGTGGGGCACCAGTCCCTGACAGGAATGGAAGCAATCTGCTCCCAGTGTTGAACATCAGTAAAGTGCTTCTTAGAAATTCTGTCAGAAGCTCGGGCCTCCAGTGCAGTGCAGCATGCCTGCTTTAGGATTTCATTGGGGTTTTCATTGATACAGGTGCTATTTCTATATTTGACCATTGCCTCAGTTTAATACCAGTTTTTTTTCCATTATAAGACTGTACTACATCATCCTTGATCTTGTATCATTTGTCTGCAGAATTTGGATAAACTTTGGTTTATCAGAAAGGGTGAAACTCAGCTCTTGCATTGCATTATAAATAAGGAACAATGAAACTGGAAACATTTCAATCTTAATACCTTTTAAGATGAAAAAATATTTAACTCAGCTGGTAACAGAATGGAAACATTCAAGTTTAAAAAAGCCCTTGTAAAAAACCTGAAAAATAGTAGGAATAAATATGATAAATATGTCTACATTTAAATTTTAATAGTCTAAAGGCACTTAAAAGTCTTAGTTATACATGTAAATATATGTGGAATTTATCCCAGTTTTGCCTGTGCTTTCAGGCTTTTAATATAGTGCTACTAACTGAAAAAAATTAAATAGAGATTTTCAAATACTGAATTGCAGTAACTTCTTGTCTCAAAATTCCAGCTTATTGTGTTGGCTACACGGGGAAGCATGGTATCATAGGTGAGCTGTAATTCTGGATTTACCACCAGTGGGCTGGAATAAAAGTGTATACGCAAATAATGATGCTGTAACAGTGTGATACAGCCTTGGATACTTCTACTCATGAATATGAATTTCCCATCAGAGAGGCCAATCTATTAGCATTTCCAATGCTCATTTCAAAATACTGATTTTTATTGAGGTTGCTCTTATGTGATTAATGAATTACTGGTGGTCTCATTTCCATTTTGTGAGCTACAACTATGGTACACACAGATGCTTAGAGCAGTTTTGTGTTCCCTCTAATCTGGTCTTTTACTTATGGATTAAAGCAAAAGAAAAAACTGAAGACAGTTTTCTCCTAAGGAATTCCTGACAGCATGGCACATATTGAAGTTCTGTTAAGATGTCAGTTTAAATATTTGTCTGCATTAGAAGTAAACATTTTTCTAAAGCAACAGTCTTCTGCTCAAAATTAATGGAAATATCTAATGGAACAGTTGAATTACTCTCTTTTCCATATTTTAATTTGTCTCATGAGTCTAGAGTCAGAAAAAATTTACTTTCAGTTTGATTGAGGGCAATATTAGGTGTTGGTACTACTGTCACTCACTAAACATTTTATTCCTTTTTTGGTTATACAGGTGAAACTTCAATCTGCAACTCCTGGAAAAGTTGTTTGTGAAATGAAAGTAGAGGAGGAGCATACA